GTAGTTGAACACAGATCCACTGATCCTTCAACACAGAGCATCTTCAGAAGACATGTTGAAAAAATAAATGTTAAAAATCTGTATTGTTCCATACATTGTGTGTGTTTAACCCTAAAGCACTGTTAGATATGGTTTGATCCGGGTACATGTATTGTTGCACCTCTAATATATATATATTTATTTTTATTTTTTTACTGTGAGGGGTGGGACTTAAAATTTGTACCTGAGCCAATCACTAGGGGGCGCTTGTTTATGGTGGTTTCAACTTCTGGGTTCCTGTATTTATTTTTAGCATCTTGATTGCATCAAAAGAAAAAGTTTGAGAGAAAAACAATTGATTCTTGACTGAATCTGGGAAAAACTGAAGTTGCTGACAAACAGCACTTGGTCGAGATATTTTATTTTATTTTATTTTTTGGTCGAGATTTGTTTATGAATTTTTAAGAAAGAAAAACTAAAATTAAGCTTTAAACAATAAAGTGCCCGTTCCTTTGCCAGCGTAAAAAGCTCTTCAGAACTTTTCTTCTTCTTCTTCTTCTTCCTGAATAAATGAGTCAGAACGGTGTCATGGAAACAGCTGAAACAGCTGCAGCAGTTTCTTCTCATCGTGAGCCCACCTCTGTTGGCCGGTTTTCTGGTGTTGGGCTCCGAGTGGCACCTCCTCCTCCTCATTCCCTCCTCCAGCCTGAAGGAGCAGCGCTGATCGTTGAGCCGTCTGCCCTCCTGGAAGGTGCAGAGCAGATCGAACAGCGCCTCCGGGAAGTCGGGGGTTAACCGGTGAGCCTGGAGGGGACACGGGTAGGTGGGAAGGAAAGGAAAGGAAACGGAAAAAGAAAGAAAAGGGGGAGGAGTTTCTGAGTGAGTGGTACAAACTGTTTGTTGGCACAGCAGAAGAATCCACTCCTACGTCTTGTCTTCTCCCACATGCTGCTGCGTAACAAAGTGGCTCTGACATTTGTTCAATCACGAGACGGTTGATAAGTCAGCTCTTTGTTTACTGTTTGACCTACTAACTGATTCACCACAGATTTAACGTCACGACAGCAAAACCAGAGACCTTTAAAGGCACAAGAGCTGTTTCTATCCCCACAAACACAAACTGAAGGCAACAGCTGTTAAATATTACTAATAAAACTTAGTTTCTTATTTCTTATGTTAAGAAATTAAGTGTAACATTGAAGATGGAATTAAAAAAATAAACTTGAAGCCTTGTTTAGATGTGCTCATGCTGTAATGCTAAACTGATCAAATATATAACTTTATTAATAATTTAGACATAAAAAACACTCATAAGTTGTCTAAAACTGTTGAGTTATTTATATTTTTACTTTTTATAGAATCCTGTTTCATAACATTTACAGACTGAATTATAGCGGCCTGTTGTGGATTATTAATATTATAAGAGCCCATCTTTAAAATAATAAAGCATTTGCTGCAACCTAGTTTACTAAAAGTGAAGATTATTTGTTAGGTTTTTAAATGTGATTATTTTAAATTAACTTGCAATAATAATAATAATAATAATAATAATAAAGGCAGAGAGCTTTATTTCAGATTTTATTGTAATTTATTTCCTTGCCTTTACTTTCAAATCCTGCTATTAAATTAATTTGTTGTATTTTCATAGTTAAATTCAATTTAGGTTATTTATAACGCACCAAGTCACAACAAAGGTTTCAGAGCACTGTACAAACAACAACAGGTGTGTTTATAAGCATGTTAATAGTGTGTTTCATTTTGATTTGACTCATAATGAAGGGATGTTGCCTGTGTGCAAACCTGACCTTTGTGGGTTTCCCCCTCGGCATCAAACCTGTTGAAATGTTTCATTTTCTGCTGGAGTTCAGTTAACGAAGCAGCTAACAGGCTAACCAACCCAGACTGGACCCCCGCCCCGGATTAAAACAGGGCAGCTCACTAACCTTTGTTGCATCTTCCACTTGTTTTTCTGCCCCGTTCGGCTGCTGCTTGGAGGAGTTCAACCTCCTTATTTCCACTCGTTCTTCTTCTTGTACGACTGTTTCTTCTTCTGCTTCACTGGGGTTTTCTTTAATCACCTCTTCGTGTGATTTCTCCTCACTTTCACTAATATCCTGTCCTTTATCTTCTGTGTTCTGTCCCCATCTTTGCTCCCCCAAATACATTTCGCTCTCTGCAGCTTCTTTATTCTGGTCCTCTCCCGAGGGTTCCTCTTTCTCTCCGAGGGCAGGCTCCTCCTCGCGGCCGCCTGTCGTCGCCTCTCCGTCGGGGACAGCCTGGCTTATATCTCCATCCTCTGTGATGATAAGAGGCTCCAGCAGCTCCTCCTCGGCTATTTCAACTTTAGCTGCTGCCGAGTCCATTCTTCTCTCTGTCAAACCCTGACAGGAAGATACACACCAGCAGATTTATTATATGATATATAGAAAAAAATAAATAACCTTTAAGGTTTCCAGTTTGGTTTAATGTTAACTATTTGAACAAAAGCTACAGTTAGAACTCAAACAGGTGACTGGACTGTAAAGGAGCTTTGTTTTTCTCTCATAAGAAATGTGAGATACCAGTCGAACAGGTTTTAACCCGGTGCTTTCTGATGTTGAAGCAGAAAATTTGATTATAAAGTGTATAATTCTACAAAAACAATCACAAAAGATAAAAGTGATTTTATCTTCTTATGTTGCAGATTTAGCCCAAAATCTAACGCATCACAATGTAAATTCTTACCGTTTGTTCTGGACTTTAAACTCTTAAAACATCATCTCTTGAAGTCACCGCTCGTCCGGCTCATCCCTTCGTGTGGTCGAAAACTTTTGTGTCGAGGCAAGAAATTTTTTTTTTAATTTGCTGTGAAGTATTTTACATGCTGATGTGACAGACTCACCACCTCAGTGTGTCTTTCTACCTTCCCTCGCTCTCGTTTCTATTCTTCCTGTTCCTCTCTTGTAACAGCCCACCCCTGTTTACTTGGCCCACATTTCACGAGTCATGAAAGACCAAAGTAAAGAAAAAAAAAGAAAAAGAAGAAGAAAAAGGAGAAAAAGAGTGAACTGGGTGTTCTCCTGAGGAAAAAAAAAAACCTTTCTATAATGTGATGTAAACGTTGGAGCAGCTGCGAGTTTAGATGTGTCGGAGCTGCTTCAACGTGCTGAAACAGGCGCTCAGCTCATTTGACACTATTGTGGTTTTGGCGCACATCCTGTTGACTTAAAGCTAAAACGAGAAGTAGAAAAGAAGCGAGATTTTCAGTTTACAAAAGAGACTTTTGTTTCGTTTCAAAACCTCTGCTTGAGAATAGATTTTAGGACTCGAGTGTCAGAATAAAAACCGGTTTTTAGCTCCGTTGATTTTGTTTTTTGACAACACGACGTCGCACGCAAACTCATCCGTCTGCATTCTGAAAAGTTGGTTATCGCTCGTCCCTTAAGGCCGGGCAATAATGTTTTTTGCGTAAGCATGCATGTGTTTGTTCTGTAAGCAAAATATCTCAAACAACTGGCTGAATTTTAGGGATATTTTTAGAAACTGATAATATAATTTACTCAACATGGCTGCTTCTGCAAAGTGAACTTAGAAAATAACTAAACGGCTTTAAGTCTGGTGTGGGAGTAGCTGAAAATGATCCCTTATTTATCGTCTGAGTGCAAACTGAAACTTTGCCATCCACTGTTGGAATAAGGTTTGTCTGTTTGTTAGCAAAATATTTCACAAACAACTGGATAGATTTTACAACGGAGTATAAAGGCCACACGAGATTTTTTTTTATTATTATTACGACAATAAAGTCATAATATTATGAGATCACAGTCATAATATAACAAGATAAAAGTCATAATATTACGAGATTAAATTAGTATTTTACAACAATAAAGTCATAATATTATGAGATTACAGTCATAATATTACAAGATAAAAGTCATAATATTACAAGATTAAATTAGTATTTTACAACAATAAAGTCATAATATTACGAGAAAAAAGGTCATACTTTGAAAAAAAGATGTCATAATATTTAGAAAAAAAGTCATAATCTTACATGACGTGTCCATTTTCCGTTCCTCGTTTCCTCCTTATTTTCCTCACACCTGCCGTGTACAGCAGGTGTTTATAAAAGAGTCCGTGATGACCTGGATCACTGTTAGATTAATATGATTTCATCCAAATTAACTATATGACGACTAAATCTGTCAATGCATCCCTTAATTACAATACGGCTTCAGTTTATCATATAATCGTTTGCACAATTTCCAAGTCCTGTTACTGATAATTTGATGCTAATGTGCTAAAAGATTAACTATTTATTTTTAAGCAATACTAAAGAACAACTTGACAAGTTGCTCAACATTCCTCATTTTAATGCAGTGGTAGTTAAATGTTTGTGTGTGTGTGTGTGTGTGTGTGTGTGTGTGTGTGTGTGTGTGT